GTTTGCAAAGCAAAAATTTGTTCATTAATAGATGGGTAATAAAAAGAGACAGTTTCAGTAGCAAAGGATCAATTGAGTAGAATTTTGCAAATTGAAAACATTTAACCACAACGTTTTTCTCACTAAAAATATCGCTCTCACCAAATTTTTTGTACTATATCTTCTTTTTTTTTTCGTATTATTTTATCGAAAGTAGTGGTTAAAAGTTCTGATGTGACTTCTTTTTGCATATGTCACTGATACCAATATTGTCTAATGTTCAGTGTATGAGATAAATGGAGAATTGGAACAAGATAAAAGAAATCAAGAAAGATAGAAGAAAAGAAGTAAATAGTAAACTTTTCTTTTTCTTGTCTTTTTTGTTAATGTTTTTGTTCTGTTTTTTTAATTTTTGTTTTCGTTTTTGTTTTTGTTTTTTTCGTTATTGCTGTCGTTCTAAAATCTATAAATTTTATCGACAACCGCTCTCAAGAAGCACCAAATTTTTTTTTTTTTAGTGGAAATACGATGAAGCAAAAACTTTATAAGAAAAAAAAAAGCCAACAAGCAAATAGATATACAAAAAGCAACAACAACAACAATTTCAAAACAAGACCTAGTCTAGGCTTGTCATTAAGACCTCTATGCAGCAATTACACGACAAAACTTGGCTGGACGAAACGAAGCTGATCGGCCAAGTGACAGAAAAACGGTAATACTGAATAAGCAAACTTCTTCAGTAGCAGCAGCAGCAGTGGCAGAAGCCATTATCAGATTTCCAAAATTTTTCTTCAAATACCTGACCAGAACTAAAATCAGGAAGTATTTTTTGGAAGGTCAGCGGTTGGCTAGTTGAATTTTTGAAAGGGTCAACATGTGAATGGCATAAAGTGTTCGTTCCTTCTTCTTTTCTTCTTCATCAGCTTCTTCTATTGCTTTTTTTCCTGTGTTTCATTTTTTTTCTTGTTGTTTGTTTGTTAAACAAATTTTTCAGGCGCCTACGGCAGTACAAGATTATTTTGTTCCCAAAAATAGACAAAAAACTAAGCATTTTTTTTTTTGCTGTTGTTGTTGTTGCCAATACAGCAGCTACAAAGACATATCAGAAAAGAAAAAAAAGAAAAAACGACATAATGAACGCTTGTTTTAGTGGACCAATGTGAAAAAAAACCGGTTTCCTCGGCTTTTAGAAACCATCTGAAACATACAGTGCACAGAAATTATCCCAAAAATAAGCGTCATAACAAAAATCCTGGTTTGAAACAATGTCGTCAGCTATGACCGGTACACCAGTGATGCTTGATGAACAGCCATTAAACCATCATCATCACACTCATTTTGACCTCGAATTTGGTCGTAAGTTTGAAGACTGGCTAAAAGTAAGTTGTGTTGTGCTTTCCAATTTTACTTCTCTCTTCTTTTATCATTTATTCCTTTATATTTTTAATGCAGATTTTACTATGCTTTTATACAGCTTTACTTAAACTTTTTTAGTGCGTTTTTCAATGTGAAAAAGTACTACACTGTACACGTTTTTCTAATCACTTTATTAACTATTTTGAAAAATTTTAAAATGCTTTTGCTAAAAGTATCAAACATGCAGCTCTTTTTACAATTTATCTATTTCGCTCAACCAAATAAACATTTATAAAAATCAACAAATGCAACAATCCACAAAAATTATATATTTGTTTTCTATGACATTACTGAAGCATAAATTTTACTAGTTTTTTTTAAACAGTATTCTTTTTTTCCATTTTTATACCAGTTTACATTTGACTTAAGCAATCTTTCTTTCTGCTGTTAACTATTGTGTGGAAACAAATTTTAAAAATATTTTTGGCTGCTAAATTGTCAATAATACTTTAAACAGTTTATAGAAAAGTCACATTGTCAGCAAGATCTTTTGAGCATTCAGTTAAAGCGAGTAATTGAGAGCAACCACTTTCTCATTTTTAATGATACTTTATCTCTTGTCTTCAGTTCAATCAAAATTTATTCATTTTTAAA